CCTTATGCAAACTATTTAAACCTCCAACCAATGGGTTAACTGCGATTCTTTTTGACACCCCTCCATTTGTGCTTAGCAGAAACTGAAGTAGTACGTGTAGGATCTTTTGAGAACATTGTAATTCAAAATCATCCTTTCACTAGTAAATAGGATTTTAAAGTTCTTGCAAGGACAGCTCTGCCCATTTCTGACAAAAATTCAAAATGGACAGCTGGACTCCAACAACATCAAGTCAAAGTACAAGGCTGAAGAGTGAAGACAACTGGACTGATGCAAGAACCCATTTGGATTGTGTTTGGCCTCGGTGTAAACTAACTAGTAATATAATGGTCCAATGACAAGTAGACTAATTTACTTAGAGCAAATTCTTTCTCACATGTCTCCCAAAGCGAGATTTCTTATAATAGGCCTAATTCAACTCTACAAAGCTGATAAGGATTTCCAAAGTTCTATAAGCACTACTTAGGTGTTATCTCTAATTAATGTGGGATCTCAATCCCTGAGACCGGAGCAGTTTCATACTATGATGCTTCACTTAGCCTTTTTGGTCAGCCTCTTTGAAGGTAGCCCTTTTTGAGACATCGGCAGCTGCAATTAATGGCTAGGGGTTGACTGCAATTAAGGTGGCAGTTTGACAACATTTAACATAATGCAATAGCAATAGGTTGAAAACATGCATTTGACCCTACAATTATGTATTGCAGATCCATGCACATAATGCTGACTGTTAATACTAACATAAGTGTATGCAATTTCTCACTTCTTGTTCAACGTTGTATTCTGCCTTTTTGCTATGAGACAAGTGCAGTCCATCAAAGGTTAATAAAATAAGTTCAATTTCAGGGTTCATATGTTACTGGGTCTTCTTGCATCAGCGAGTGCACATTTGACTTACTCAGGTAGCAATTGTTCTTATTGCATTACATATAGCTAGTGAAGAATCAATTGGTATACAACCTGAAGAATGCTCTCAATGTCTTTTTTCCTTCCCGTTGCAGGCTTGTGCCTGATACCGCTGTAGATCTTGCAGAGTATGTGAAAAAGTATTTGGCTGGTCTTCCATCCACGACAATTATAAGTATAAGTTTGCTTGGACGCGATTATACTAGTTTACTACAGGAATTGTTATCTTATCCTACACGTGTTCAAGCTTGGATGCTGGTGTCAAGACTGAGTTTTAAGAACGAACCTGTTGTAGTGTTACTGCCAGTTGATTCTATTTTACAAGGTATTTAGCACCCCTAAGCACATGTGTTCAGCCTCTGATATAAGTGTTATGCTTGACCTTATGAATTTAACAAGGTAATTTGTAACTTTTTATTGCCAGCTTCGGATGAGGGTGAACTGAGTACTAGTTCATGCACTTTTTCTAATTGTGAGGAACATGGTGAAAAATGGCGTTGTCCATGGGGTTTTACAGTAGTTGATGATGTGGCTCCTGCATTCAAAACAATTTTAGAAGAAAACTACTTGTCATCAATATCTCCTTTGGAAGATACAACACAAAACAGGATGCTATGGTGGAAGCGGAGAAAAAACCTTGATCACTGTCTTGATAAATTACTGAGGTGCACTACCTCTTTGTGATTTCACAAGTCACTTTGTATTAACTTCTATTTAAGAATGTACTCCGCAAATTCTTAACCTTTTCCATAGTTGAACAGCATGTACTCAATGCAACACTTTATGCATTCTTTATTAAGGAACTCTAAGACTTTAAAAAAGCACCACACACAATGACATCATTGACTTAGGTATTAGTAGTTTTAATTTTTCATAAAACTAATTGTTAACTCTCCTTGTACTATTGTCATATCTTACCAGGAACCTTGAAGAGTCGTGGTTTGGTTCATGGAAATGCTTGCTTCTTGGAGAATGGTTGAACAGTAAAAATTTTGACTTGGTGCTTAAGAATCTTGTAAATGATTTAAGATCTAAATGCAAATTGGATGTCAATGAGGGTCTTCTTAAAGTTATTCTTGGTGGCTCCAAATATGTTTGTGATGGGAAAACATTGGCTTCACGACTATGCTCAAAGAAAGACTGCTACATTGCTAAAGTAGGCTATTGTGATGAATTAAGGAGGGGGATATTGTTAAATGCCGCGAAGGGATTTGGAATATCATCTGAGGTTGCTTTTGAACTATTAAGCGAGGCATTAAATGCGCTAGAAGTGGATGACTCTGTGAATAGAGAGCCTATAATTCTTGTGTTGGATTATGAGGTGCAGGTAAGTGAGTTGTTTGACTCTCACTATATGTAGTTATGGATTAATTTTAAGAATCAAGTTTTACTGTTTGGATGTTATATGGTACAGTAAATTAATAAAATGCTACTATGCTTTTAAATTCATTTCAACCTTCTATGCAAAAATGAGCATTGGTTTTTATTTCTTTCGTGTTTTATTAACCGACATGTATAATGTTTTGTGCTCTATAACTGACATTCAAAGCAGCAATATTTTTAGAAGATATAATCAAATTGTTTATTTCCAATTCTATAATTTCTAGATTGATTATCCTTTTAACGCATTTCGTAAGCTAAATTTGTGACTCTCACTTTTAAGGAAAATGATAGTAGCAAGGAAATGTGTTTTTGCTTATGTTTTCAAAACTATATTATGTATATATTCTAGCTTTAACCGGTCACCTAGTGTGTTATTTTAATATTCACTTCAATAACAAGCTCTACTACTGCGACAGATGCTTCCTTGGGAAAACTTGCCCATTCTGAGGAACCAGGAGGTTTATCGCATGCCTTCCGTGAGCTGCATTTCTGCTGTTCTTCATAAAGGCAGCAACCATAAGGAGCAAGAGGGAAGGAATTTAGTGCCCTTTCCTTTGATAGATCCACTGGATGCTTTTTATTTATTAAATCCAGATGGTGATCTCGGTTTAACTCAGATAGAATTTGAGAATTACTTTAGAGATCAAAACCTGGAGGTATTTTAGCAGTTTGAATTTGATAAGAATTCAAGGGGGGAAATATTACATATATTTTTATCCCTTCTAATTGTTTTATCTATACCTAGAGTGAATGATTATTTTTTCTTTTCTCATCTTGTTACTTTACAGGGAAAGGCCGGTTCGAGACCCACCATCAAAGAATTGGCTTCAGCATTGGAAAGTCACGACCTTTTCATATATTTTGGGCATGGAAGTGGTAAAATGTTTTAAATATATATTTATCATCCCGTGTCTGTGTGCTGTGTGGCTCCCTATATTTATATGGGTGACAAATGTGTTTTTACAGGAGCGCAGTACATTTCCAGGCATGAGATTCAGAAACTAGACAAATGTGCTGCTACGTTTCTGATGGGGTGCAGTAGTGGTTCATTGACCTTACCTGGTCAATATGCACCTCAAGGTATTCCCCTGTCGTATCTGCTGGCTGGTTCTCCAGCCGTGGTTGCCAATCTGTGGGATGTGACAGACAAGGATATAGATCGGTTTGGCAAGGCAATGCTTGATGCATGGTTGAAAGAAAGATCAGATATGCCAACGGAATGCTTGCAATGCAACTTATTGTCTGAAGAATTTGAGGCCTTGAAGTTGAAGGGCTGCAAGGGTAGGCCAAAGAGGAAGGCTCCACGGAAGAAATTACTAGAATTGACGGCTGATGAGAGTGAGTCACCTAAAAACTGTGGTCACAGACGCAAAATTGGAGCTTTTATGGGTCAGGCACGGGAAGTTTGCACTCTTCCTTTCTTGACTGGGGCGTCTCCAGTTTGTTATGGTGTTCCTACTGGAATTTGGAGGAAAAGGAATATTTAGCCTAAACCAGAACCAACCCAACAACTACTGTTGCTGTAGAGCTGCAGCCAAAAAGTTCATGTTCGCTGCTAGGCTCGATCCCATTTCGCATAGTCAGCTTACTAAACAAGAACCTTACAATAGCAACTTCCATTTTCTAATCTTTCATTTAATTTATTTTTTCTTGCCCCCCTGTTAAGGGGGCATGCAAACTGGGCCTTGCATGGGCTGTGTCCATTATTTGATGAAATAACACTTGTGTAAACCATTGTCACGAGAAGAGAAGAGAAGAGAAGAGAAGAGAAGAGACGAGGGCAAAGGAGAAAAACAGTTCAATTTGTATATATGATGGACGCTGTATACTCGATATACACATGATGGGTATTCCATTCAAAATTTTGTTTTCATTTAATTTTTAATTTTACGCTGGACATTCTAAATATATTTAAACAACAGTAATTATAAATATTAACATACAAGCGAAATTGCTATGCAATGTGTTACTACTAAATGAATACTACCTCCGTTTGGCTATGAAAAATAAAATCTATATATAAGCAAACAAATTCATTTTTTATTTTGGTCATAATTATATGTTTAACAAACATATGATTACTTTTAAATGTATTAACTGATGATTAATTTTTATATCAATAATTTATTATAAAATTATTAACGGGTTATTTAATTTTTTTATATATAAAATGCATGTATTTATTAGAGAATTAATATTATAAGTAATGTTTATTGGTCGGAAGAATTATTCTTTGACTTTTGATTAGTGTTACTACAACCAACACTTTAATTTTATGAGTATTTTTAGAATAAAATTTTAAATTATGACATTATTAATTATTTTTATAAAAATATATTTTTAATGAATTTCAATTACTTTTTTATTTAATGATATTTTTTAAAAAAATATTTCATTTTAGTGTATGACTTTCTAGTTACGTTACTCTTTTTAGCAATTATAATAATAATAATTTAGAAAAAAATGTTATAAAAATAATAAAATTTAGTACAAATAACAAATTTTTTAATATATAAAATTATTTTTTTATAATATAAAAAAAAAAGTAAAAAAACAAAGAGAAAATTTAAATATAATTTTCTTATTTGTGATTGATAAAACTTCCATTAAATACAAGCATATAATCTCGGATAAGACTCCTAATTTAAAAACAGCACTGGCAGCATTGTTAAACCGACAACCACAATACACATGCCCACACATGAAGTCAAAGTCATGTATTTGAAGTGGCAAAACGGTGATAACTTAGGCCTGATGAAGAGCGGGAAAGTGGAAAGCCAAAATGAAAGTACCCAATTGAGCAGTTCCCATCTCGAAAGGCCATAAATCACACGAACACGAAGGCGCTCTTCAAATTGAAATGAGACCCGCCGCACGCAGGCAGGGGGAAGGGGGAC